TTTATTATTGTCTCCCTCCTCCTGCTTCCTCTTCTCCTCTTCTTCCTCCCCTTTTTCTTCTCCCCTTCTTCATCCTCTTCTTTTTCCTCCTCCTCTCTTTCTCCCCCTTTCTCTCCTCCTCCTCCTCTTTCTTTCTTTTCCTTCTCCTTTCCTCTTCTTCTCCCTTCTCCCCCATCCCTTTTCCCTCTTCCTCCTCTTCTTCTACTTCTTCTCCTTTCTCCTCCTTCCTTCTTTTCCTTCGCCTTTTCTCCTCTTCTTCTCCCTCTTCTCCCTTCTCCTCCCCATCTTCTACTTTTCCCTGCCCCTTTCTTCCTTCTTTCTTTTCCTTCTCCCCCTCCCCTTTTCCTTCTTCCTCTTCCTCCTCCTCTTCTCCCTTTTTCCTCCAATTCTACTTATTTCGCTTCCTCCTCCTCCTCTCCATCCACCTTTTTCTTCAGTCCGCCACTCCATTGTATTATAGCATTGCAACCAAAACCGTTGTTGTTGTTGTTGTTGGTTATGATGATGATGTTGTTGTTGATTATAACAAAGGGTTGTTGTGAATTTTCCGGGCTGTCTGGCCATGTTCCAGAAGAATTCTCTCCTGACGTTCCGCCTGCATCTATGGCAAGCATCCTCAGAGGTTCTGAGGACCTCAAAACCCTTGAGCATGCTTGCCATAGATGCGGGCGAAACGTCAGGAGAGAATGCTTCTGGAACATGGCCAGACAGCCCGGAAAACTCACAACAACCTAGTGATTCCGGCCATAAAAGCCTTCGACAATACGATGATGCTAATGACTATTATTTATGACAGGCATCCTCAAACTGCGGCCTTCCAGCTGTTTGTGTGTTCAACTCCCAGAGGACAGATCCATCTTGTCTCTTGCATATGTCATCAGTTGGGGACCCCTCCCCCCAGCACCAACTGCTGCTCTGGGCCAGAGAGAAGAGAGGGAGGGGGCCCAGAAGACAGTTCCACCTTGTCTCCTGTGCTATGCTAATAATATAATATAATATATTGTATATACATATATTTATATTATAAAGTAATACGATATAATACTACTACTAATAATATATTATAATTATATATGTTATATTGCAATATAGTACAATATAGTAATATATAATACTGATATTGTACTATGCTAATAATAAATATATTGTATGTGTATATATATATATATATATATATATATATATATATATATATATATATATATCTTGTAAGCCTCTCTGAGTCCCCTTAGGGGTGAGAAGGGCGGCATATAAATGTCGTAAATAAATAAATTGAACAAGCTCCTTGGGGCTTCTGGGAGTTGGAGGCCCAAACAGCTGGAGGGCCGCAGTTGGAGGATGCCTGATTAATGATCTTGTTCCTGACATAGTAGAACAACTCTGGGCAGTCCCTTGGATTCACCAAATGAACCAACCCACTCCAATGTCTGTCAGGTGTTCTGAGCTCCTATCAGGAAAAGGTGGGCTGTGTTGCCCACAAGATGTGCTCCAATTTCGGTCCAAGGGAAAGAGAGGAAAGAGGAAGGAAATCTCTTCCCTCTCATTCCTCCTCTTCCTTCTCCCCACCCGGGATTCCTCCGCCCTTCCTTCCTTCCTCTCTCCTGCAGGGAACCTGTAAGCGTGACCCCCGCCCCCCCCGGGCGCGTGTCTTCTCTTCTTCCCTTTCCCCCCTCCCTCCCTCCTTTCCCTCCCTCCTTTCCCTCCCTCCTTTTCCCTCCCTCCCTCCCTCCCTCCTCATTCCTGGCACACTTTTACGGCGCGACACTTCCCTCCGCCGCCGGGGCCACGAGAAGAGGGGGAAAAATATGGGGGGGGAAACGTGATGGGGACGGAGGAGGATGCAGCGTCGAGATGGGCGTTGGGATATCGGGCACGTCGGCTGCGATGAGAGTTTCGTCGATCAGTTGGATAGGGCTCGGTCTGAGCTGGGAAGGGGGGCCGAGAGAGGAAGTGCGGAAGGTGAGAAAGGGACGGGAAAAGAGGAAAAGGCGGAGGGGAATGTGGGCAATGGGAGAGGGGGACAGAATAGTCGATCGTTCGTT